GTCGTCTCTTCGTACTGCTCATTCGTGCTCCAGTATTCGCGAGCTAAGACGTCATCCGGTCTGCCTTGTATAATTGCGAGAACAGTCACAACATGGTATTTTCATCGGTATCTGACCCAGTTATCAAACAAATGTTCATCAAGTTTCCTTCTATAGTTGTCGTAGTGTTCATTAGACCGACCATACACGCACACACATGGGTTGAGTGAAACTCTTCAGTAGGAAGTCGTTCCAGGATGTTGAGGAAACCTGTGTAGGTCGTCCTCGAATGGTCAATACTGCTGGTCGCTGTTAAAAGACGGCGAAACGCCAGTTTACGAACATCGGCTTAGTCGTTGGGGTGAGGTCGGAGTTACCACATGCCGCCAGAGAACTATTGATAACGATTGGGTATATGGTCCTGCCAAGTTCTAGTATCGAAGAGATACCTACTGAGAACATGCTGGTAGGCTTGTGTTAACGTCCCTCGACAAAGACAAGGCAGACCATTTCTGGCTTATTAGTCGTCATCAGCCAGTCATACCCGTAGTGCAATGGTAGGGTGTTGCACTCAATGACCAAAGGTCGCGGGTTCGAACTTTGGGAGTCTCGCCACCCTTGGGATTGGGTGTGACTGGCTGATGACGGCTAATAAACCAGAAATGGTCATTCCGGTCTCCCTTGTATTTTTCGGTTCCACTTCATCATATATTACAAGTCGCTATGCGACTGTCTTCAAGGGCTCTATATTGAACCTCAAGGCACAACGGGATTAGCATTTTATGTAACCAGATCGGTGGGCGCCCTACTATCATTTTTTTAATTTGCATCGGCCTTCATCCGTAGCCTTCTCGCATTTCTTAATGACATCTTATATGTCACCCGGTGTGTGTAACTCAGTATGCTGTCCACTGCTACTAGTGCTGTTTTTCAGCCCAACGTGCCGAGACGGCGAGACTCTGTCTTTCCTTGCCTATCCTACGGAGAGGGCATTTGATAGCTCTGATGAGGGCCTTTTTGTTTGAAACAGCTAAACAATCTTTTCATTTTTGGGCTGCGAAAACAAACTACCTCAACTTCCTTTTGCCCCCACCGAATATTTAACAGTTTCCGCTTAAGCTCATTGGACCAATGAGCACCCCACTTTGCTCTTATTTCCGGCCATTTCCCTGCTCGGGTAATCCAGACAGCCTCATTTCCGTGACAGCTTCATCCGTAACTTTCGTCTCATGTTTTTGCCCTCTCCCCATTCCCCCTAATGCTCATCCGTGCATATCCGTTCTCTCAGCATCTTACGGCCCTTGTCCTATCGTTCTTGTCTGCTCCACATCCAATAAATCTCCCCGTAGCAGTCAAGTTTTGTCTCGCCACCTGCCATCCATTTGCCCTCTGCCTTATCTCTCTCTCTCTCTCTCTCTCTCTCTC